TCGATGTATCTTTGTAGCACTATTCAAATGCTATTTTTGTACAGGGACTTTGAAAGATACATCTCGTTATGGGGTGTTTCAAGTTTTTGTATTTAAGAAATTGTATTTTTCTTATTTTGGGAGAATTTCCCTGATTGTCCCACAGAAAAGTTACTTAATTGCACTGAAATTTCTTTTTGGGGATCTGTTGTAATATTGCACCATGAATGTAGCATATTTTAAAACATTCCGTTGGCCTTTCTATTTTTATGGAGAAAAAACAAATTACTATTTCAAGAAACTATTATAGCTGATTTTTCATCTTCAAACAGTAACTTACAGTAGAAGTATATTTTCAGTTATGAAAATGTAAATAAAACTATTTCAATTGTCATTCAAAAGAAAAGAGTCATTTTTAGATAAACCTTTCTCTATGAATTTTTTTTTTTTTGGTTGGTGCAGTTCCTTGCTTTTATATATCACAATTGCACGTTTGAAGAAGAAAGTAATTAATGAGAATTTGAATGGCGAAAGTGATGAGAAACGGCACATTAACAACATTAAGAAACCAGCATAATATTCAGAATTAAGTTGAAAAAAATAAGAAAATCTATTTTCCAATTTTGCAAAAGTATTTCCAAAGCTGATATGTAATTTTTGTTCAGAAATGTAAATGTTGCTACAATGAAATATATGTTCCAATTTGTCAGACGATGTAGTTCTGCTGTTGTAAAGCGTTGTATAATGAAAACACTGCAATGCTCAACTTGTCCTGAGTTGGGTTCTATTGCTGTAAACGTCTTTTACAAAGGAGATAGGATTAATTTGTTGGTTCAGTACAAGAGGATTATAGTGGTAGGACAATGGCGAAACAATGTAACTTGACCTTTGGCTTTTTTGAGATCCTGGGTAACTGAGGGATACTGTTTCCATTGAGCAAGATTGAAATCTCGCAGAGTACTGTAACGAAAAGCCTTTTTGGTGTCTGATTAGAATACATTTTGTGTGTTTGCTCATGGCTCATGGCGTGCTGAGAATTTGGCTTGTTCTTTTCTTAACCAGGACTCTTTTGTTAAGTTGGATAGGCTTGAGCTGAACTCAGTGTGCAGTCTTTAGATCAGTCATTTACATTTGAATTATCTTGTATCACCAGAGAATGGAGGGCACTCCCTTACATTCCTTCTTTTGAAAATTGGGTTGGGCACTCTGTATAAAAACTAGAGCCCACTATTGCCTGTCGAAGATTTGCGACTGCCGGTGTGCTGGCAAAGGCAACATGCTGTTTGATTTGTTTCTGTTGCATGTACATGCATGAATGCCACTTCTGAAACATGTGGATATCCTGGCAAATTCTGTAAGTTTATTTTCTATCTTCATGCATTTGTGCCCCATGCCTCATCTCAGCCGTGCCTGTAGCTCCTGTAGTTCTGTTATTTTTGTATAAATTACTGCTTTTGCTGTATAATTGTAGATGCAGTAAGGAGTACTGATCAAACTGTTTAAAGATGGCACTTGATTCGGTTACTTGCTGGCTAGAGCCACAAGCCAATTAGATTGTGAATTACAGCCGAGAAACTTGTTGGGCTGATTCAACGATTTGAATCCATGCTGTCAAATTGTAAATATTTGAAATGATGCAATTATTTTTGTTCATTAACTAAATGCCAGAGACCAGTTAGCCAATGGCGAATTTAAAAATAGTTCTTTTCTGTTTAGTTGATTTGTTTGTGTGTGTGTGTTCCCCTACTGGTGGAGTCCTAATTAAAGGGATTTAGTTACAGTACTTATCCAACAGGGGGCGACTCCAACCCCCCCTACAGATTTTTCTCAAACAAAGAATACTTCACGGGAAAGAGTAATTGGTATATTTATTTATCAAATATTAGCACCTAACCCTCAGAAAACAAAACCATGAAATATAAGCAAGGATGTGAGGACCGCGAGTAAGGCTTTTGATGTTTTTTCTCCTTCAACATCATGTTGAACGAGGCAGCCCGAATCCGGATTCACTTTTGAATTCCCCCCCCCAACACACACACACACATAACAGATGTTGCACACCAAGTAATATCAAACGTAGCTGCAGCTGTACTGCCACAATATTTATAATTTTACGGAGAATGTATTTGCTGGTATTCAATGCAACAGTTGTGTAGATGCACTGCAATTCAAAGACCTCTTTTTTTCTAAATGTGGTCTCAAGTCATCATAAAGTTGATTTTGGCTAATTATGATTTATACAACATAGCAGCAAAAAGTGTTTTGATTACGTTTGTACACACTTAAAGCTAAATAATTTTCCATATCGACAAATTTTAAAGTTGGGATTACTCTGTTTGTTTATGAATCGTACATCAGACAGTTTCAAACTATGACCGAAATATACTTGTGAAGAGCTGATAAATAAACTAAAATGATACTGATCCTTCCCCTCCCCTTTGGGAATTTTCGAAAATGGCAGAATACATTTTGAAAAGCTATTTTGGGGAGACCAAAAAGTAAAACAATTCGGTTGGTGGATTTCGTTTTGTTAGACATATTGCCTGCAGAATCGATCTTCTTTCAAAAAGGTGCTTAATCTTTTTTTGAAAATAAAGCTTTGATTTAAATTGCGGTAGCTCACATTATCGACAGGCTCTCAACCCTTTAAGATTTGTGACGAACAAAAGTTAAAAGGCTTACTGTACCATCTTTAAGGGACTTTAACGAATGTTTGTGAACAAGATTATTAGCTGATTACTTTACAAGATGTCCATTGTAAATGGGAGACAGAATGCATATTTCAACTTATTTAAGCCTACTGATACTCAGGGTAAATGACGTAAACTCTATTAAAAAAAATAAGTATTGAATAAAAAGGACTCCTGAACCCCAGTAGTAACGAAATCAAACCGTCCAGTCAGATTTCTTTCCTCCTGTGTTTTGGGTTCTGCTGTTCCATAAACGTTTTAACCTGTAAGCTACAGTCATCGATATAAAGTAATACATAAACACATGTGCAGCAAAGTTGGGGGGGGGGTAGCATTTCCCAGGCGGACAGAATTATGGCGGGTGGGCACTTTTACCTCGATAATTTGGCCTCCAGGCACTTTCACCAGAAGACAATTGCGTGTATTCGTCTGTTGCACAAGGATAGGTTTTCTCCAGGCCACCGTACCAGCAGAGGTCACCTCTCGGAAACTCGCTTTGTTGAAATCAAATTGCCATAGCGCGGACAAAAAATTGTATGCACAATGGTAACTGATGACTTGTCTTCCAAAGAATTGTGAGTGGAATTTGGACGTGGTAACCCCAATGTCGACAGTTTGTGACGCCAAATCAAACTTTTTCCTCCAAAACCTCCTCCAGTTGTCCAAATGGTGACGATGACTATTTGATGCACTGATATTCCAGGTAAGAACCATACAAAATAATTACCTGAAGCATTTCACTGATTGCCAAGTTACACCTATTCGATATAGGCCTGCGAATATATCTGCTCACGTTAACTTTCCCTTTTTGCTAAGCGCTGCAGTTTGCTGAGCGTTCCTGTTGTTTGTATTTCTTTTTTTTTCTTTTTGTTGTTTGGAGCATTTGTTGTCTTATACCCTGCAGCTTTCATATTTCTTTGCAAACTGTTTCTATCGAATTATTCGAAAGCATCGACTTCGGGAAGAAAAAACAAGCCTCGCGGGGCATTATGTTTGCAAATTAAGTTTAAGGGTTTGAAACCTTTAAGGGTTAGTGGGTTACGATACATTGTCGCCATGGTAAAATACACTTATATTCTCTGCTCAAACGGTAATAAGTTTGAAACAGACTTGGACAACCACTCTTAAAAATATGTGGCGAATTACTGATGCAGGGTTTCGAAATATCTGCCATTTCAATCTGGAAGTCAAGAACTGCATATTAATCAACCCTTCAACACTTTACAATTAATTCCTTTTCAAGGGTCAGCGGCGAAACATTACTTGAGCAAGTCCTAAGCATCTATCTGAAATTGCTATTGTCAACTCGAGAAACTGGGAAGTGCATCATTCTATTTGCTATATTAACCTGTCCCGACTACCCAAAAAGAAAACAAACAAAACCAATGCCGTTTACAAGGTCCCTCCTGGCATCAGTTTAAATTCTACTTGTGAGAAGTCGATTTGTGAAGGATGGAATTTCTGAAATGTAAATGTAAAAAAATCAACCTTTTGCCCTCCATTGACGAGACGATTTCAATTACACGTAATACCTGAAATAAGGTTTTTACAACACCCAATAAGAGACAAGCAAAAGACAACGAAAAAAATCTCCCTTGTTTCTTACTTTTGCCGATTTATATCTGTTTGGAGTTGGCAAAAGATATTAAAACGGTAAAAATCCACTGCAAACTACAAACTGGTGGGTGCCTTATCTACTGCCTGTGCTTTATGTATGTTGGTGAGTACTGTATCAAGACTCGTATTTTTTTGGGGGGGGGGTTCATGCAGTTTCATCTTTCAACCAAATTAGTGTTTGGCTACAGCAGTGCAAAGACCCCTAAAGTCTGTTCATCAACTTTTTTTGTTGCGTAGTTCTATTATTAGGTCTTACTTGGCTCTTTGCTTTTCTCGGACTGTTTTGCTGTTGTTCATACGACCCCCCCCAAAAAAAAGTGTTGGCTTTTGGTTTTTAAAGACAAACACCAAATGGCGGCTTTTCATTTCTTATTTTGAATGACAGCAATTTGTAAGTTCACAAATTGCTGCACTGATTCCCCAAAACCCCTAAACATGGTTAAATTTTCTGTTGAAATGGAAATGAGGAAAATGCGAGAGACCTATTTAAAATGATGACGATTTCCCCTTAAAAAGAGAGGGGGAATCACAAACGTCGATTTGGGTTCAATCCACTAGGTGCGAAGCTACAGCGTGCAGACAGCCATAAGTTGACCCGCTGCAGCACATGCATGCCCGACAACAGTCATACATAAAATAGCACACTATCGCTCAGCAACCATTTAAAGGTAGTTCTGATGCAAAGCTTCCAATACTAATAGTTTTTGAAGATGTACTGGAAGTCATGTAAAATGTTATTTGATAATATTTCTGGTCTTAAGAGCGGACCGTATAATTCCAAGGAACTTTGTGTTCTCGATGAGTAATTTATGCAACTCAAAGCTATCCATTCCTGCGAAAATCAATAGAAACATTAATCCAATCACCTCAAACAATTGCAATTTTGTTATTACCTTGTAAACATGCTTAAAAGATAAGCAATATGTCCAGTTGAATGTTAAGCTGTTAAATACGAACAAAGAATCAGTTTTATAAATAGTACATAATCTGAAGTAAACTGTGGCTAAAACTTAAACAAGCAACATGTTTAAAATGCAATGCGGTATCTTTACACGAGTTGTAACTATGCGTGCATACACCCTCTAAGAGCAAACGACATTGCCTCTAGTTTCCTTTAGTTTCCATTTTTTTTAAAAAGGGTATTTTCTGTCAGTCTCCGGCAGCTAACAACTCTGAAAACTTCGCCTACGATCGAACACTTCTGCCTCTGTTTTTTGGGAAAGTATTTGTAATCTTGGGGTCGAACTAAACGTTTTAGATATCCTTTATAGGTAGCTATGTAATACCAATAACATCAGGTAACCACACACCATTCACTGAAATTTCTTACCTATGCATGCGATATACCCTAATGCCTACACTATATGCACCGTTTGTTATGAATCTTCTGGTAATATAAAAAGATTATTTTCAACATGTGGCGTAGCACGCTAAAGCACTGTATGTATTGGCTTACTACAGTGACCTTGTGCGGCCTGAAATTAACAATAGCTATTGAAAGTCCTTTGTGGGCAACATTACAATGTGGGGGTTTGTCCATTTAGCTCGGAGGTAGGCAACTAAAAACAGCTCAGAAAACTCCACTTTCACAAATGGGGGTTAGCAGACAAGAACCACTCAACGCACTTTCTCGGTCTGGTTAACAAAATAATGTGGACGGTCTGTTTTCAAATCTCGGTGAGATACCTACTGGTCTTCGTGAAATTATGGTTGGAAACAAGTTGTGAATGGTGGGCCCATACTACTAGATGTACACCATGTGATCTGCCTACCAATATGACTTAAAAGCCCATTTCAACGATGCAAGTTTGTTTTGCTCGAGCATTAGAAAGATCAAATCTAGTGTCTTGTATTGATGCATGCCTCACTAAGTTTGACATCCTGATGAAAATTGATTTGATTCAGGAAAAAATATGTGGAGGCGTTCTGTTGCTTTCTGGTATTGTATAAAGGCTCTAGCGACTTGTACTTCATTTCCACCAAGTGGCTCACAAATTTCATGCCCTAAATGTCTACAGTGCACGAGCATTCAGTTAATCTTTGAGCGTAATCACACTTTTTTATGAATGGCAAAGCAATATGTTCAAAATCACTTCGAACAGTGCCTTCTCTATAGGTGTTGGTCGTTCAAGAACTCTCTAGCGTGAGCCTTTTCGCCGCTGATCCAGCAACACCCAGGTAAGAACGTTTTGCTCCAAAATTCCTCACTCTTTGTACCTTTTTCTGTTAGGAACCCTCACAGGGCTTATAATCATAGTACACAAGGATAATGGAATTTTAATTCATTTTTGAGTGGTTTTATGATCATAGTATTTGGACTCTTTTGTGGTAGATTGCTGTGTCGCATACGTTATAATTATACATGTACTTACATACACATTGCACGTTGTGTTGCATTTACGCAGGGCGTGGAGTGCACAGCAGGCCTCGTGAGTATGAGATCGCACTGTGCACTGAACTCAGGGCTGTGTACGACTTACATTGGTGGGTCATGGCTGTCATTGTTTTCTACGGCTAGCTTAGTTTACCAGATGGGATATGCCGTGTAGATTTTATGTAGTGTTCATTCCATGCAAATACCCATGTTGCAGTTCCATAATACCTGTGTTTGTGCTATTGAGAATGTTATTTATCATGCCGCTTTTATGAATTATGTTTTGGCGTTAGCTCGAGGTTTTGGAGGAACTTGCCCTTCAAGTTTCTGCAGCACTTACATCACTGCCAAGCCATCACACCAGGTTAATTTAATACAAAGTGTTAATTCTATTTTTAGTTACACACCTTACCAAACCACATTGTGTACACTAGCTTTATAAATGTAGTAAATATGTTGTATTTTTATGTACAATAAGTATCTTGGGTTTAAACATTATGTAATTATTTTTCGTACAGGGATGTAATACTTTACGTGAAGAAGCTTGGATTATTTACTGGGAGAAGCTTGGATATAGTTTACGTGAAGAAGCTCGGACATGAAAGCAACAAATAATTAAATTATCATCTGATTGGCATCCGGTTTCCGAATAATCTTTTGGGGGAGTTTGCTTAGAGGGTGCCTTGTCTTCTATCACAGGAGGGTGGATCTACCACCCCACTACCAGGGGCGGCTTAGAATGACATGTCTGGTCACAGTATGGCGTCATAGACAGTATACACTGACCTCCAGATTTCTTCAATATTCCAGTTATCTTTGTTTTATCCCCTTGGTGTGAAATATAATTTGTGGCTAAGGCTTGTGTTTGTAAATTGGTAACTGCTTATATTTCTAACAATTGGTCGCCCTTGTTGTGCATAGTGTGACTAGTATATGTTAATTTTGGTTGACTTTGTATTTACCAAAACTCACCTGAGAAAGAGGTTGATATATATGCCTATTTGCATTAATAAAGATTCGTATTATTAGTTGAGCCGTCACACACAAAGATTGCCCTGCCAGAAAATGTGGCAGAAGCCATTCTGCAGTCGAACAAGGCCCTCGCTGATACGCTAGCTGATGCGTTTCAAAATTTACGGTATCAAAGAGCTGTCACAGTCAATACAAAGTTTACTGGTTTTCTGCGGCACTCTGTGGATCAGATTTTAAAGTCTGTTATCAGAATGGCAGAATGACTTAAATGCATATACTCGTCAATTCGGTTTGTCTGACCAAGAAAAGATAAGCACTGCACTTGATTACCTCAGAGACGTTGCCAAAGAGGAAGTTATGTGTTGTCCGCCCCAAGGAGACATGTGGGTAAAACGTGAATCACCGCTAGTCCGAAGACAGTGCAGTCATTAACCAAAGCCTTGTATCCCCACGTCAACTCGAAGACGAAAGTCTCGCGGACTTTAGTCGTTGTCTTTTTCGGCTGTATGGCAAAATGGAGAGTGCGTCTAACGCCGAAAGAAGGAAACAAAATGTCATGTACTTTAATAGTTATTTATTTTCTTTAACTTTTAGACAGTTAGGCCTAATCTTTATCATGCCTGTTGACTGTCTTTTTTAATACCCTTGATGATACTCCCTATACAAAGTTGCACACTGGAGCTTGTTGCGTCCCCCAGTCCTCGTTTCTGAGTGGATCTGCTCGGTAACACTCTGAGTAGTCAGCAGGATTGAAATTCATTCACTTTTAATTGGGGTGCGAGCAAAAATCAAATATGAAGGGTAAACGACAGTCGAACACAAACAGGGAATGGATCGGTGCAGACGGTTTGATTCCGTAGGTGTTACTGATCTACATCTTCTGACGGTCCTCTGCAGACAGTGGTGTTTTTGACCAACACTGTTGTTACACCTTCATCCTTCAAGTGCTGCAGCCTCGGAGAGTCCGTTTGCCATCAAAAGACCCTGATAGCTGCCGAAGAGTTATTTTCTACAGCAGTACTGTTCCAATTGTCGTCCTGCTATTATGACTGGTTCGATGTGCTTTACTTGAAATGTTCTAGCCACTTTTGTGCTGTTTCTTGCTGAACTGTGCATGGAACTGGCTGCTCGACTGGTCAACTTCCATTGTCTGACTGTGGCAGTTTCCTGAGCTCTGTATGCCGTGTTGAACATTTTCAGAGTCTGTGTCGTCAGATGCCTGATTGCTCAGCACTGTCCACTAGAGCAGTGGGACTCCATGTTCACACTGCGGCCGTTTGAACTGTTTTCTTCTTTGTTATTGGTAATGTACAGTAGTTGATGTGACTCTTTGCATTTGCTTCCTGTGATTTTAGAACAAAGCAGAATTGTGCATATTTTGTTAAACTTTTCATACTTGCATTATTTGAGTATACCCAAATGCCGTTTTTTGTCTTTGTGGCACCTCTGCAACGTTTCAGGTTGATGAGGAGATGTGTGGGTGACCTTATGTACCAACTCATTTTTGCCTACCTTGATGATGTCTGCATCTTCTCAAAGACCTTCGATGAGCACTTGCATCATCTTGACACTGTTTTCTTTAAGTTAAGAGAACATAATCTCAGACGTAAACCCTCAACGTGTCATCTATTTTGCAAGCAAATCGACTGTTGGGATCATACTCTATCTGCAGATGGCATTGCTACCAAATCTGTGAAGACAACGCCAATTGTTGAATGGCCTGTGCCTCGCAAGACCAAGCAACGGCGTTCCTTCCTAGGTTTTGCTAACTACTACAGGCGGTATATCAAGGGCTTTGCCGGATAGCTGCACCGCTTCATGCTGTGGTTGGTAAGACACAACGTTGTCCACCAAAAATGTTACGAAACCAGTGGTCAGAAGCTTGTCAGGCTGCCTCTGAAGAGCTTAAACCCAAGTTCGTCAAACCTCCTATTCTCACATTTGCTGACTTTCATACTTGATGTAGATGCGAGTTTGTCCGGCTTGGGTGCTGTCTTGTCTCAAGTTCAAAGAGGTGAGGAGAAGGTGGTGACCTTTGCCAGTCGAGGCCTGCGAGAGAAATGAGAAAAAGATGGAAACTACAGTTCTTGCAAGTTAGAAATATTAAGACTGGGGTGGGCTATCACTGAGAAGTTTAAGGACCATCTCTATGGTTCATTTTTTAATGTCAGGGCAGACAATAATCCATTAAGTCATCTTGATACTGCAAAACTTGGTTCTACTGAACAACGCGTGGTTGCCACTTTGGCAGCTTACAATTTTAACCTCATATATCGCCCTGGTCGTGTAAACTCCAATGCAGATGGACTCTCTCGTCAAAATTACACAGAGAGGGATCAAACTAATGTCTCTGAAGTGATAGCAGGAAAAGACATGTACAGTGCTTCTTCTTTGCCTGCAACTTTGCAAGTTAAGATATTTAACACTGTTGGTGAACTGTGTCCAGGTCGAGTCCAGGCAGATGTTCTTGCCACCATCTCTTCTTTTCCATTTCTATCTAGATCTCATTTAGCCAAATTACAACAGGATTATCCGGATATTAGCCAATATTTGTAGTATCATAGTTCAGATAACTTATAGACAAAATATCTGGGACGAATTCAGTTCTCAAGGTTTTGTTGAGCCAGATTGAGCGTCTGTTCCGGACCATTATGTCCACAGGGCCCATTATGTCCGCCCCATTGTGTCCGCAGGATGTCATTGTTAATCAATAAAGTCTCAGGTATTTTTTTTCAAAAGCTTTCCCTTTTTAAAATTCCTTGCAGGTATTTAAATGTATGCTGTTATTCTTCCACAACGGATCAGTGTTGGGTCATGTTCCTAATGAAAAATGAACCAATGAAACAAAAGTTTACTTATTCTGGGTCAAAATGATTCTGTGCGGATTACTTTGTGCATAATTTCTTGTAATGGGTTTCATGGAAATGCACATACATGTACATAGTAGATGCAGTTCATGAGAAAAAGCTTTACTTTTATGAGTAAGAGTGAGTTTGTTTTTGCATTCAATTGGGGACCCTGAACAATAGAGGACAATAAGGTCCCCGATTCACATAGGGTCCCCGAATAAAAATTGTGCACAAAACATATGGGTGGTCTTTTAAAAGAGTTGAAGTAAAACAAAAGAGGAAAAATAGGGGGTCCCCAGTTGCAGAAAAATTGTGTGTTTGTGAGTGTATAGGAAAGGGGTGTAACAAGTCGCCCTACACCTATGTTTCTCCCCCATTCAACGAGTGGAAATTAACGACTTCGACCGTGGGAGACGGTTACTTGACCCACGGCCGGACCCTCGTGAACCGTATGGAAATGTCCTTAGCAACTTGCCAATCCTCTGTTGAGCCTTCTCGTTTTGAAGACTTCTTTGCACAAAGTTAATAAACGGATTGAAACTCTTTGTATTTGCCCTAGAAGGTTTAAATCGAATAAAACACTACAGAATTGGGAAAAGAAACATGAAATAAGTTTGAAATTTAGCCTCAAAGTTGTTACTAAGATGATAAATTATTTGCATGTTCAATCGATCACTTTATCTTTTTCCACAACATTTCTCAATTTTAGATGTTCTCCCAAAACAGTGAGACACTGCATACGACAGGCCAGAATCTCAACCACACGGTATACATTTTGGTTAGAATTCCATGAGTTTTATTTGATACTTCTGCGCAGGGCGATCTGTTCGTGTTCTGTATGCCCAAAACTGATCTAGTATAGTGCGGGTTGTTACCGCGGCGTACACGTGCATGTGCAGGTGCAAGGAAATTCTCGACCGTTGGAGGAAGTGTACAGGTACATGTTCGTGTGGTTCATGCTCCCACAGTACATGTAAAACTCGGGATATATTTAGTTGTTAACAGTAGTGAAAGTAAAGAAACTGAAACCTGTCAAGCCAGTTCATATTCTGTTTAATGTGTTCTTTAAAATTAATTACCGTTGCAGGTTGAAGCATATCAAGGTTCAGTATTACTTTCACGTCAAGTTTGCAAATCGTATTCGGTGGTTGCAAACTGTACTTTCATTTTGAGTACATTTTATACTTTATGAATTTTTAACTTCAGAACTATTCTTTGGGATCAAAATGTCATTTGCACCATCATTTTCCCTTATTATTGGCTGTAAATCATTGCTGGTTAGTAGTGCTGATATTTAAATTAAAATTTCATAATTATAAATCCGAAACGAAGGCCGGGAAAGGAAGTATTCCTGGGTTTTAGCTTCTGGTTGTCCTGAGCTAGAGAGGTTTGAAAAGTAAAATAACTAACCTTCCTGATTTCAATGTTTTCGTGTGGTTATAAAGAAAAATGGTTAAATTTGCAAAACTGAAACCTATTACATCTGTTATTTATAGTCAACACAGATTCTGGAGTTTGTTTGTTTGAAAAGCTGATATCCGATGTCATGAAAATTCTGTCTGATTCGATTGCAGTTTGTGTTCATATTCTGGGGTTCTCAATTGTATTTCATTTTCTGGTATGCTATGCACTCTTTATGTATTTGTTCACTTTCAAAAATGTTCTTGTGCACTCACAAATATTATTTGCACCTACGTTTTCCGTTCCTATTAGCCTTGATTTATTACTGTTCTTAGTCTCAATAAAACGTGTCGGTTAACATATTACTCTTAAAATGTTTGAACATAAATTGGTTCACCTGAAGCGTTATTAGTCAGCTAAGGGTTTCCGTTTTAATTAAAGGATCCATAAAATGAGGTTTACTTGGAAGCACTTTTTGTGCATCTCTGCACTCTTCTTTGATGTATGAAGATTGTTTGACATCCTTTTTGAGTTGCAAGAGTTACACGATAAAAACATTTAAAATTGACCGAGCATTTGCAACATTGAGATTGCCTTCAGTGGAATCACAGGTTTCCTTGTGAATGTGCACATTGCATTAAAACTTAAAAAAATAAAAAATATGGGTTAAAGTTGCCAAAACATTTCCACCAGTTCGATTGAAACCCTAAGGTGCAATTTCAAAGGTTTTATTAAACTATTTCTATGATGATCCCTCTAAGCGTGCACACTGCAAATACTGTCTGCTTTTTTTACACCAAGCAAATGTATACGAAAGACTGACAAAGTTTGCAAAAACGATTATAAGTTTCACTTGTGTGACTGGCCCGTCACTGTCATCCCTTGAACCTGAATATTCAGACAGAAAATGAGTCATTCATAGAGTAGAACCGGTATGTTCCATGTCATTATAAAGGATACTGAATTGCAGAAAGAATGAGCCTGCGGACACAATGGGGCGGACATAATGGGCCTCCAAACACAGTGGGGCTGACATTATGGGCTTGCGGACACAATGGGGTGGACATATTGGGCCTGCAAACACAATGGGGCGGACATATTGGGCCTGTGGACACCATATGGCGGACATAATGGTCCGGAACATGCGTCTTAAACTTGACAATAGTGTGCTGAGGACACTGTCCTCCACCGAGAAGTTCATGACTCTGTCATTGGTACTTCATTAAAACGAGTAGTCCTTCCTTTTTGTCTAATGCCTAAAATCCTGATTAGCCTGCACAACGACTTTGGTCATCAGGGTGAGGAGAGAACCGTGTCTTTAGTTCGTAGATGTTTTAGCCATTCATGTTTAGGGACGTTAAAATCAGGGGGTGAGTGTAACCAGGTCGAGTGTTCGCTCTATCTCACCTGACGCTGGTCCTTTTTCTTTGTTCAGTCGGTGAGTCGCATGGTCACCTTGATTTCATTCCTTTCATTCCGTTTCAACTGCATCATGTATTGCACTTTCGCGGAGCCTGGCCGTGCATAAATAATTCTGACTAGCGCCCTCTTGCGGACTAATACTTTTTTCTCACAGTCCCACCCCGGGTTTTAAGCGCTGAATTTGAACGTGTTGCATCCTCACTTTTGTTCTCATTGCATACCGGACATTTTTTTGCGTATTTTCTGCGTTTTCTTGTCAAGTAAACACGCGCGGGTTGCTTATTTCAATCCAACGTAGGCCAGAGATAACTTCCCCTTTTTGCTTCTGCTGATATCATTACATTTCTAGCAGCCTGCAGATTACGGGAGGCATGAACAAGCAGTCCAACTGGCGACTTGCAATTTAAAAAAACTTGGATAGGTACAAACTTGGATAGGTAAACGGTGTTTTAATGATGTACCAATACACAATATTGTAGGATCTGATTTTCATTCCATCATGCTACATGTAATTACAGTGGAATGTCGCTATACCGAACACCGTTATACCGAACATTCAGCTGTACCGAAAATCATCCCTGTCTCCGATTGTTTTGTGCACAAAAACCTACCGCCAGATCATGCATCAGAGATCGATCCTGAGCGGTAGCTTCACGACTTTTAGGAAAAACTAATTATCAATTTTGTAACTCCAGATTTAATAAAGAACAAAAATAATTCATAGATACATTTCTAGAAACCTAAAACGTGAATGCAAGGGCAAAACATCAAACACAAAAAAACAGCGAACCATAGTATCACAAGAGGGTGCACTTTAGTTAGACATGGGCGGGCGCTATTCTTCATGGCAACGCAACGTTCGGCACTTCGCTATAGCGGCTTTCTACTGTACTTGTATGAACTTGAAGAATTATCTCACAACAATGGATGATTGTTAGTTAAGAAATTGGTAATTTTATTGTGCATAATTGGACATTTGTTTCACACATGAAGTGAATTAAATCTTGTACAATTGACTCTATTGTGAGCTTTCATGCTGCAGGGAACAGCCAAGCATAATCCTATTTTATGACAACTACAATTGAAACGAAACCTTCATAATATTTACCTTGGTTAGTATTATCATTGTATGGACTTTCAAGGGTGGGTTATTTCAGGGTTATTTTGCTGAGTTTTGTGAGATTACAAAAACAAATTAACTCAAAATTAACAGTCGAATACCTCTTATCTAAAAAACAGAAGTGTATTATCAATGGTAAACTATTATTTTGTACATAATGTGTTTTATACTTGTAATCATATTGTAAATAATATTCTTTTGATGAATACATGGACCATTCCCGGTAATTTAGGTAATGTGGTACACATTACAGTAAG